AGCCAGCGCCCCCTCCCCCGGAACCGCAGTACTGGCAGCTCTAGCAGCAGCCCTCTCACAGCACACGCGGTATGGAACCACAGACAATTAGTCACCTTCTTCAGCTTTGAGGAATTAAGGCTGCAACTCTTTCTCCTGGACTTGTGTTTGCTAGCGCAAACCACAGGCGGACCTGAGAAAGGTTGCCCCCATCTCTCATGCCAAGCCTGCACCCCTTCCTTCTCGCTGCAGGGACACCCCAGCCACCCTCTGTCCCCTTCTGGGAGATGCTGCGGACAGCTCGGTGCTTTTGCAAGCGCAGGGAAGAGCACCCACGCCCCGCCGGCGCTGGGTGGGCGGGCGAGCATCGGGTGATGCGGTGATGGGGCGGCTCACGCGGCATCTCGGCAGCCTCGTCCTGCTCATCGCCAGTCACGCTGCAGCAGCGGGGCTGCGGTAACCGCCTGCGAGCGAGCAGCCCTCGGCCGCTGGGAAATGCGAGGGAGCAAAGCTACATTGGGGAAGGGCACAGAGTCCCTGCTGGGAGCACGATGGTGCCAAAACCTTCGATCCGCCTGCAGACCGACCCCGTAGGTGCTGCTGGGCTTGGCAGTGCCAGGTGCCAGTGTCGGCTGTAGCTTTCCCGTGCCAGCAAGCTCTGCTGTCACCCGCGCTTCACCGCCACACCGGATAAGAGGAGTGGCCCAGGAGCTGTGGGACGCCTGTTTAATGTTTAATATTCCTGGAAGCTGGTAACTGTTTGACAAGCGAGATAGGCGCTGACTCAGCGAGGAGCCGGGGATGAAAAAGTCGTTCCCAAGACGACCTGCTCCTTTGCTGCTGGGAAGTTGGTACGAGCTGCTGCTGTCCTGTTTTCAGTTGGGTTAATGTTAAACTTGAAGAGCGCAGCCCCACTGGCCTCACTCTCCCATGCTGGGAGGTTTTCTCCCGTCTGGGAAGGAGGAGAGGGTGGGGAGGGGTGGTGCTGGACTCCGTCCACCGCCGGAGAGGAGCACTGCAGCCAAGAGGCCTCAGCCCTGCCACGGGGACAGGGCCAGCGGCATCCGCACCACCCCTCGGTATCGTCAGTGCTGCTTCCAGCTGCTCGGCAGCGAGAGGGGCTGCTCCCCCAGGGCGGCTGGGCAGCGCGGAGATTGCTCCCGCACGAGCAGCACTCACCCACTGGCTCCTGCATCCATCACAGGGAACGCGCGGAGGCCGTTAGGAGCGGTGGAGATGCACGGTGGCTCCCTGCTGCCTTGTCCCGCTGCTTTGCTCGGTTGGTTTGTTAAATAGCCCCGTCTGCAGCGCTGCGTATGGCCTGCCTGGCCTGGCAGCACCCGTCTTGCTGCCAAACTGCCCCCTGCAAGCCCATGGGAGGGATGTGGGATGCAGGACACTTGGGTGTAGGATGTGGGATGCCAGCCTCTCATCTCAGCCCAGCTCCAAGGCGGGGAGCGGGGAGGGACTGCTGTCCCTACGTGCAACGGCAGGGCGGACTCAGAGGTCCCTCCTGACCCAGGAGCCAGGGTGGATGGAAGCAGGAGCCATTAGAGAAATCAGCGCTACAAAGACGCATGTATTCATATATATATTCTTTAAAAACCAGGAAACCCTCTCCCCATTTGTGAGGCTTTTGGGTGGGGAGGACTCTGTGGGAAGGGCCAGGAGGGGAACAGTACCTTTCTCCAAGGAAGAAGCCAGTGTTTCCCCTCCCTGTCCCAAGAGCCACCCAGGAAGGGTCAGAGGTGCCCTTGGCTGCCAGCCCCAGTGGTGGTTCGAGGGCTCGGGACCACAGCGGCTCAGGTGAGGACCCAGTGGCACGGCCTCAGGAAAGCTTGCACAGCCCACACCGTTCTCCTGCCTTTACAGCCAGGATGGGTAATTCACCCCTACAAATCCAAGCAGCATCTCCACCAAGGGAACAAATTGCCCCCTCTCTGCAGTGGGAACACGTCCCTGACATGACTTGGCTCTGGCCAGTGCTGACTCAGACAGAAACTACTCCCAACCCCAAATGCTGGCACACCAGCCTGCACCTCTACACAACTGCTGTCCCCGGGGGCACGTCCCACTCCATTGCATCACCCAGATGGGCTGCGGCCAGGAGACGCAGCAGCTCTGCACCCAACACCTGCCCGCAGCCATTGCCCGGTAGCACCTGTACATTGGGACATCGCACTGCCCGTTGTGTCATGGCCCCTCTGCAAGTGATGGCCAAAGGGTCACAGTCACATGGGGACACAGTCGGGCATGTCCTTTGCCTGGGGGAGCATCTGAGCGGTGATATTCCCAAGAAGGAGCTCAGGGAAGTGCACATACGCACGGCGGCATGCAATGGAAATGCTTGTCTGGCCCTCGGGCCACGCGCTTGCCCACCCCTCTCCCCGCTCCTACCTGCTCTTGTCCACAGCATCCTGCTCATCCATCTCATCTGCGCTGCAGGTAGCACTGGAGTCGCTGTCAGGGTTCACCCCAGGGCCTTTACTGCCTTTATGGCTCTCCTTCTTCTCAGCCTTGGGTGTCCCCTCCGTCCCTGCTGTCCCTCCACCACTGACGCCACTTTCCGCTTTCTTGTCATTCCCCTTGTCCTTCTCCTGGCTGTCTTCACTCTCCTCCTTCTTCACCTCGTTCTTGCAGGGTTCTTCGCTCACCTTCTCTGGCTCCTCCGTTTTCACCACGTCCACCACCAGGTCCTCCTGCACCTTCTCCTCGCTGCTGGGCGGCTCGGGAGCTGCCTCCGGTGGAGGGCTGGTGGCAGGAGCGGGGTTGGCGGGGGGAGCGGGGGGAGCGTCAGGGGGGGTTGGAGCCTCTTCCAACTTGACTGCCGGTTCTGCGCTGGAGTCACCTCCTGGCCCGGGTGGTGCCTTGGCCCCGTTTTCGCCTCCTTCTTTGGCTTCAGGCCTCGGCGAGGGAATGCTCTCCGTGTCGGAGCTGTTATTTACTGCAGCTGAGAAAGGAGAAGAAATAAAAATAAGGATCAGCCCGAGATTCTCGCTTCCCATATCGCTGCCTCCGCCCCCTCCCATGGGAGGAGAACGCCCTCGTTCCTCTGAGGGGGAGATGATCCCGGGGCTTGAAGAGCTGTGCGGGATCCCCGGATCCAGAGCCTCCTAAGCAAAGGGATGCTCTGGGGGCCTCTTCACTTGCCCAGCACGACAACTGTTGTTAACCCCCACCCAAACACAAAGCCACACGCCCAAAAGCCTGGAGACCAAGCGACTGGGTTTTAAGGGAAAACCCTGGCTGCTGGCTGGATCCGCGGGACAGGACCTGCTCCCTCCTTGCCCTCTCACCCATGGCTCTGGTTCAGCTCTGCTCCCCCGGGGCCAGGCACCTCGCTGGCACCCTGCTTGCTGACTTACGTCGCCTGTGTCCCTGGCTCTGCCACCCCCCGGGGCAGCTGGGGACCATCCCAAACCACCACGCGTGTTTGTTGTTATTTAAGCCGCCAGTGGCACTAGAAAGGAGGTCAGGGTCGGTGAAAGCAAAGCGCTGGCCGTGCTGTGGGACAGGTTAATTATTACATGGGAAGGAGCATTCTCAAATCTGCCACCAATGGCTTGAAGCGAGCTGGAAGCAAGGATCCATGCACCACTGCAGATGAAGGTGCTGCCAAGAGATTGTTTCTACGGCTGGGGAGAGGATCGCTCCCTCCGAGCCTTCGCCAGACAAACAGGGCCAGGGCCAGGGCCAGGAGCACCAGGAGACTTCTACGGCCCCATCTCAGCACATCCCTGCCGGGCACGGCTCTCATGCTTGTGGCCCAAACGCTTTCTCCTGCACATTCCTTTACTTGTCTCTCTCCACAGCCGCACAGCCAGCTTTCAGACACCAGCGAGATGAGTGACACAGGGGGACTGTGTCCCAAGAGCTGTACGCCGGAGCACATCCATCCTTCCTTGGCAGGAAAATGGGACACACTCATCAGGAACCTCAGCCTTCTCCAACCTCTACTCACCTGCAATCAAGCAATGAGGTGTTCCCCCCCCCCGCCCCTCAGCAACGGGGTTTACAGCATGTTTGGCCAAACTCTCCCTGCCCGCCACTCGATGCCCCTCCGAATGCCATGCCAAGACACCCAGCAGTGGCTTGTCCCAGGCTCAGCCAAGCTCCAGGCTCCAGCACACCCCCTCTGGATGCTGACTCTGTGGTCTACACCGTAACCCCCATGCCAAATCCCTCCTGCCCCAACCCCAAGCTGAGCATCCCCAAATGTCAGCCCAGAGGCAGCGGCACACACCGCCCTGTCACTTCTGTGCCTGTGACATTTCATCCCCCCTGCTTACACCTTTCTTTAGCTCCGTAGCCCACCCCAGCAGCAGAACAAGAGACAAGGCTTGGAGCGTAAAGCTCAGGAGCATGTCAAGAGATCCGTCTCTAATCTCAAAAAGACATTGTTTCCTCTCAGGCACTCTCACAAAGAGCAATAACTACCATTTACTCTGCGCCTCTGAGTCACATATCACCTCACACAAAGATTTACCTGGAATCTGCCTTGTAATGAGTCACTCACAACGATGATTTGAAAAGATTTCCCATTTCGAGTCCCATTAGCCTGGGTGCTAAGGCCAGGAACCAGTGTGGTGCCAGCAGTGCTGGTTAAGTTATTAAATTACTTTGACAAAAGTCGAATGGGGCTATTGTTGGAAAATTATGCACATTTTCTCCAAACTCGCTGCCGCGCTTTCTAAGTGATAAATAGCTGAAAATTGTCACTTTCAAGTTGTTTCCTTTCTTTGGTATGGCTGGGAGGGAGGAAAATACTGCCTTAAAAGGGAAAGGAGGAGAAAAAGACTTGCCAAGGTACATCAGCCTTGCCGGTGGGAGACCACGGCTTCCCCTGCCTTTGCTGGCAGCGCGGGCTCCACCGTCCGGGGCAGCAGCAGCAGCAGCGATGCCCTGACAGGACAGGGATGGGCACACACAGACCTTAGCAGGCTACCCCTCCGCGAGCCCATGCTAAGCATCTCGAGAGGCCATGGTGTGGCTATCTAACCCTGCTGAGCATGCAGGGATGCCCCTTTGGGGGAAAACACCACGAAATGGGGTTTGTAAGAGCATACAAACATGCCAGGCCCTGGCAAGCTGGGTGCTCTGGGGAGCGCACACTGATGGAAATTGGAAACTAAAGGGTTCTCTCTCCTCCAGGGTGAGGAGAAGCCGCTGGGACCACCCCAAGTTCCTGGTGAGCCCTTTACATGCAGCCTCGATGCAGGGGGCCAGGAGCTTTGGGCCGCAGAGGCTGCTGAGAGCCTCCCTGGGGACCCCCGTGGGTGCCTGGCAGACACGGCAGAAGTTGGCTGGTAGCAAAGCTCCTGCATTGCACGACCTTCCCAAAATAAACATCCTCCAGACAGAAATGGGAGGAGGGCAGCGATCCAGGGCACTCCTCACAAGCGTGAAAGCCAGAGGCATCCAAGAGGCCACAAGCACCTTGTGCTGCGGGACGCTGTCACCTTGGTGTGGCTTTGGGGTGACAGACACAACACCCTGTGAGTGCTGACATTTGCAGCCCTGGAGAGGCCGGGCACGGTGCCTCTGCCACAACCGCACAGCAAAGCCAGGAGAGCTGAGCTCTTCCCCCTGCCACAGCCCCCCGCCCGCCTCACCTTCTGCCTCCTCGGCCATCTCCTCCTCATTCCCGCTCGTCCCCGACACCTCCATCTCCTCGTCCTCGGCTGTGGGAGGGAAGGCAGCTTCTTCGCTTTGAACGGCGGTGCCTTTTTTCTTCTTCCTCTTGGCATTCCTTTCTTTCTCCTGGGGAAGAGGCAGAGGATGGTGAGAAACACAGACCAGCGGGATGGGGAGCAGACAGTACCAGTCCTGCCTGAACGGCTGAGAGGGATGTTAATACCACCACGGTCTCACTGGGTAAACCTTCTAAAATCAGTCCTTGGGACCAGACTCGCCTGCTGAAAGCCCGGCAGCATGGTCTCACCTGGCCAAAAAACCTTGACCGTTGTGCAATGGCCAGCCCGGCTCCATGCAGAGCCCCAGCCCCAGGCAGCAGTGAGCCTCCAAGGGAGGGGTGGCACTGATGTGTGGACAAGGGACGCACATGCAGAAGACACCAGGGCAGGGCTGGCGAGAGCCTGGCGGTCCCACGTCTGCTCATTACGCACGTGCAACGCGCTCGTCCTGCGCATTTCCAGGCACTACCTCAAGCTACACAAACATGCGTGGCTGCAGCTTGACGCTCATCTGCAGATAACGAAGCCGATGCCCCAGATACGGCCCAGCCAACATTTTCGTGCACCAGCTTTCGTGTCCCCTGCGGCAGGTACTGCCAAAGGACTTTGACTCCCATGCCGGGGAGGCTGTTGCCAGTGGGGACGCTCCGTGCGGCGCGGCATCCCAAAGGTGAGCTGCCTAGTGCCCTGTCCTGCCCTGAGACAGCCCCGTTCCTGCTCGCCGGGGCACATGCCGCAGCCACGAGGGCAGGGAGAGCTGCTCCCTCCTGCCAACCTCAAGGAAAAGTCTCGGCTTTGCTATTGTTTCCTGCTCTTGTTGCTTGAGTAAATATTACCAGTAGGAACAGGCCCATCATCTCCGGCTCTCCCTGCAAACCCCACACGAATGACGTGTGTAGGACGTTTATTTACATGGATGAAAAGATAAAGCCGTGGTGGAAACGTTAACTTTGCTGCTGGATCCCTGTGCTGGGAAGAGCTGGTCCCCCTGCTACCCTCCCGCCCCCACCCCCCCAGCAACTTTTCAATCCCTTAAAAAACTTCCAGATAAAACAAACAAATACAACTGCTTTTTGCTTGGAAACGCTGCTTGCTCAAAATCTATTTTTATCAAACTGGGCAGGAGAGAGGGGAAAAAAGGCACTTCAGAAAGGGCTCTGTGAAGGCGTGGAGACGCAGCGGGAGGAAGGCAGGGCTCTGCGGTGCCCTCGCCCCGTCCCAGCGGCGATGCCCCGGCGCTGCCAGCGTTCGCGCCTCTGCTACGGCAGCGATTCAGCAACCGCACATTTCTGTCTGAAGCAGCAGTTCCCCATCACGCTAATGCAGTGACAAAGCGCCGACGTTACTATGGCAAAGACTTCTCTGCCTCTTACTCACAGGTCCGTGACTCAGCTGCGGGCAGGAGCAGGCTCCTCACTGGGGAATTCGCCGGGAACCAGCCTCTGCCTCAGCACCCTACTTGGCCAGAGCCCGGGGGCCGGCAGCGGCCAGCAGAGCGGAGGAGCGAGCCGCCCCAGGGGCACCGTGGGTCCCTCTCCTGGCAGACCCCACTGCTGGTATTTAGGGAAGATGATATGAGATCCAGGCAGCAGATACTGGCTATGGCTAGAGAGAGATATGTTCAGGCCACCACCTCGCCTCTTATAATGCCAACAGCTCTGGCTGCCTCATGCAGCCCTGCTCCCAGCACCCTGCCCAGCAAAGGGGTCCCTTTCTGCCCTGCCTCTCTAAGCAGCCACAGGGCCACCACGTCTAACATGGGATCCTAACCACGACTGCAGTGGACACAGAAGAGTCTCTGTGAGACATGCGTGGGACCAGGTGTCCCCCATCATCACAACGTACTCTTAATCCCAGTGATTACCAGCAAGGCCATGGGAAAGTGCCAGGACCACTCGCTATGGGCACTTTGAGGCTCATTTTGTGCTATCCCAGCCCATGGGGTCCCTGCTCTCTACCTGCCACCAGGTACGTTTGCAGGAGCATCCAGGACTTGGTGCTACTTGCGCCGTCTGCCTCGCCAAGACCACTGAGGAGACACACTGTGCACAGCGAGGACACCAAACCCTGCGCGAGGGACCACTCCACGCCTGCTCCTCCGTGCTGTCCTCCCGGAACCGAGTCCCCAGCCAGTCCCATCACACCGATTCCCAGCCTGGCAGGGACAGGCAGACCTTCTCCCACCTCTTCTCCTGCCACCTGGGGTGCTGGGCTCTGCCTCCCACCACTCAAGTTCACCTGCGCCATCTGTCCTGGAGGAGGAGATGGAGATGCCACTAGCCCTCAAGCGCAACATCTCTCTGGCCTTCTGCCTCCAGGCAGCGCAGCCATCCTGACAAATTTGACATCTCCTTGCACTCACCACCTGATGTGGCAGCAATAGCCAAACCAGCTTCCAAACCCCCGCTATTGACATGGGTGCCTCCCCTTAGCCTCAGCCTGTCCTAAGAGCCCAGGCACCCCCACACTGGTGCGACGTAACGATGCGTATTTGAGACTGCACCAGGACCAGGTCTAACCACGGAGCGACTCCCGTGCTCTGCTGTGGGAGCAGCAGCAATGGGAAGGGACAGAGAGATGATCCCACAGGCAGGACCTGTCTGCCCACCGTGGTGAGGAGGGTCTCAGTTCCCCATCCCGAGACCAAGGCTCTGCACCAAAGCAGGGCAGACTTGTTTACCCTCCGGAAGAGGCCGCCAGGCTGTCCCCCCTGAAACAGCTTTGTTGTGTGAAGCCAGCACCACCCAAAAAAAGCAAGGAATTGCAGAGATGTTGCTCAGAGGGGTCCAAAAGATTGGTCCTCCAAGCAGCACCAGCACCAGCCCAGGAGATGACTCGCCCATCTTTGCTGCACAAGCCAAAACAAGCCCCAGCAGTCACTAGATCGAAGGGACAATCACACCACAAAGAGGTCCGGGTGAAGACGGCGCCTAATCTCCAACTGCTAACAAAAAGAGCAGCTCTGAGGACACCGTGTATCCCAATGCCCTGCTTTCCTTAAATGCCGAGATTAGAGAGCCCAGTGCACAGAAGGTCAAGGCTAAGTGACGCTGATGCCTGGGACGCATCTGAGCCACTCGGCAGTGAAACCAAGCCAAAACACACAGCCGGGCAGATAAAGTGAAGCCTCGAGGTGGCCTGACCCTGCCCCACCAGCACCAGGCTGCCTGTCCCACGGTGCAGCCAGCTGGCAGGGACACCCTGATCCGTGGGGGTGCTTGCAGAGGGAGGAGGGTGAGGATCTGTAGCATCCAGCCCCGTTGAGCCAGGACCGCAGTGGGATTCCCCTCCTTGAACAGGGTCTCATGAGCACTGAGCAGCTCAGGGGAGAGGGGAAACGGGGCTCCGGGTGCTGACACAGCCCACGTGCAGCTCCCTGGTCCCTGTGTGCCCTTTCCCTGGGAAAAAATCTCTCCAGAAAAAGGATGGGTCTTAAAATTAAACCCCCAAACATGGCATGTGGAAGTGTATGGGCCGTGTAGGCTCTGGAGAGGTGGAAAAGGAGCATCACTGTGCCAGACACCCTCACCCACTGCAACCCAAACCTCTCTCCTTCCTAATGCTCTGGATGCTCAGAGGGACAGTCCCCCATCCCCAAACCTCCTTGGGCAATGGTCAGCCAGGGTTCAGCACACAAGGGAACAAGGGGCTGCCAAAATGCCCGGCCCCATCCCACCCAGCACTGTCCCAGCATGGGGAGTGGGGACATCCCGCTCTGCACTGCACTCTGCCACGTTTTGGGGACAGAGGGACCTTGCCACGCTCTGCTCCCCGTCCCACACCAGTCACTGCCGCCTGCCCACCCCTGCAGCTCCTCCAAGCCGCCTGCACACTGCTGAAACCTGGTGTCACACCTACCTGGAAGAGGAGGCTACAAAATTAACGAGCCCCATTTAGGAAATGAGTAAGATCTGCTAATTAAGTTTACTCTCATTAGGCAAGAGGAAGAAAAGCAGAGCCACTGTGTTTCCCTGCACATGATCAGCAATAGCTGTTAGTGGCGAGGCCAGGGAATAACCTGGGGATGTGACAGCACAACCAGGCGATGCCACGCTGCCTCACCACGCGCTCCCTCCACAGAGCTCACGGCTGACTACTGGGTATAGGATGAGATTAGGAGACTCTGTTTGCTTCTGAATATATTTAGGAGTCAGGAAGGAAGGTCTATGGCAATTTAATCTCAGTTGTTCTTTTATTTTATTCAGCTTTCTGGCATCTGCTGTTGCCACAAAACAATAGAGCACAATAAATAACAGCTGAACGTTCATTGTTCTTCTCCACAACCGAATCCCACAGCCTCCAATGCTCAGAAAATAAAATGATGATGCTGATATAAACTGCAAGTGAGAGTGAGCAATTAGACAGGAGAAGTCTAGCGGCTGCCTTGGAGGGACGGATGCAGGGAAAAATGTGGTTCTGCAGAAAAACACTTCCGTGATATAATTTCTGAAACATTAGGAAGCAGAGTAAATTAATATACACCAGCTCCACTGCCAGCTAAGCTGTATGATCTTATTTCAGATTCTCCCCAGTAATGAACAATGGTATCTTTATAATGCAACACGTTATATTTGGAGGGCTTGATGCACATTTCATTCCAGCCTTTATATTGTTTTGGGGGTCTTTTATATAGTTTGTTTGCTTTGTTTCTAAAAACAATTTGGTGAAACACGGGAACACAGGAGTGCCTCTGTGCATAGAGAATTAATAAAAAAGAATCGCCGATGTCTTCTCTTTCTCTCATTCCTATAGACTGACTAGGATATTAAATTCCTGGGTGAGTCATTGAATGTTTTCCTGTCTTTCTTTTTACTCTTGCTGTAATAGCTTGCTTGGAGAGATTCCTGCATTGAACATTGTCCTTTGCATTTTCAAAGCACCCCTTGGGGGTTTAGCCATGTGAATTCTATTAGCTAGAAACTGGGAACCCCAGGACACTCCACAAATGAAATAATTATAATCCTTAGTTGCTCTTAGCAGTCCATCCTATCTCCAGAATGCCCAACAAACCCCACTTCACTAGCACCCTGCACTGCATGCCAGAAAAGAAGCAGCATTCACCCTTTCTGACAGGGAAACCGAGGCACGGAGGGACATACGCATCTGCTCTCAGCCCCGAAGACAACCAACATCCATGGCGGGAACAGCCCTTCCTCGCGTTGTCCTAAACCCCTGCATTTCTTTGGGGCAAACTGGCAGTTTACCAGGTAACTGTGGTACCTGCAAGGCGCCAAGCTGCGCTGCCCCGTGGGGCGCTCTGCTCCCCAGGGTGGAACAGCACAACCGCGCCGGCATCAAAGGATTTGTGCCGCCAGGACTGAGCTCTCATCCTGGCCAACACACCACAACCCTGCTCCTCCTGCTCCTTCGTTATCTCCCTGTGTACCAGCCGTGCTCCAGATACCCAGGCATCTCCCACGCAGCAGCTCCCCCTCCTCCAGACCTCCCGGGGCCAGATGGGTGGACAACCCTTTCCTGAACACTTCCCGCTCCCCAGTCCCCAGAGCTTTTACTCTGAGATGATCAAAGATCCCTCTTGGCTGTGGGAAGTAGGCAAGCACTTGCTGGGAAGTATCTATGGGTGAGGGCTGAGACCGGGCTCTCACCATTTTCAGTTTGTGCTGCTGTAGGATCTCATCCAGGTTCTGCCTCTTCTTGTAGTTGAAGTAGAAGTTTTTGCACTGCGACACGGTCTTAGAGCCCACCATCCTGGCAATGGCTGACCAGTTCCGCCCATGCTCAAGGAGACCTGCGGTCACAGGAGGGAAGAAGGAAAAGGGGTTAACACCAGATACACTCACACAAGGGAAGCATTAACCACGCAGGATGGGAAACATCCTCCGCGCAAGCCAAACTCCACAGGAACAATATGGTCACTAGCACCCGTCTGCAAGGCTTCCTAGGCCAGGGGATGACCTACAAGAGCCTGTTTTTCTTTCCAAGAGGAAAAAAGGCACTATGCTGACCACCTCTGGAATAAAACACGTCCCACGGCCACGTCTCAGCCAGGCACCGGGCGGTCAGGAGGGTGAGTGGTGATCCCTTCCCTTTGGGACAGTTGCAGGAGGTGCTGCCATGCCCAGGAGAACTCGGAGCAGCAGCTCCCAGACCCTGCCACAGAGCAAAGCTCTTCCCACCCTCCTGTGTCCCAGTGATGACTTCAACTGGGCTGACAAGGCAACAGTTCAAGGGGCTGGAGCACAGAGTCCTGTTACAGATGGGGAGGAACAGCCCCAGCAAGGAAGTGGCAGCGAAGCCCAGGTGATGTCCTGGGCTGGGAAGAGGCATGCCAGGGGATTAGTGCTGATCACAGGCTCATGAGCAAAAGCAGCTTCCCAGGTCAGGCATTGTGCCAAAGGCTGGCAATCCTGGCCAGATGGTGCCACCCAAGCACAGGGCTCCTGCCAGCGCTGGGGCAACCCAGCAGGGTGGAGGAAGAGGAGGAGGAGGAAGGAGCGAGTCAGCACCCTGCGTCCTTGCAGTCTCTGCAGGGGTGTCTGGGCATGCCTGGTCCCACAGCTGGAGGTGGGGTCTCAACCACAGCCCAGTGGTGCAGCGGCATCCTGATACCTCCACCCTAGGCTCCTGGAGGTGACCTGGACAAGGACCATCCAGGCTTTCTGGGAAATAAAGCTTTGCTGCCTGCAATCCTTCCCGGTGTGTGGCTGGTCCTTCCCGTGGGGACTTGTGGGGCCGGAGCTGCCACCAGCCTGTGGGACGCTGCCGGCCGAGCTGGGTCGTGCCGGTCTGGCTGGCTCCTGGCTGCCCACAGGCAGCCACCGCCACCGTCAAAGTAACAGCTCCCCAGGTCCTCCCCTCCACCTTGTGTAGGGTGCAGAATGGAGAGGCTGTGAGCCCAGGGGCACAGTACTGCCACAAAAGGTGACTTCAAGATGAAAACCAGGAGGGAATTAACCTGCAAAGAGCATCTTCCTCTTTTGTTAGGGGTTTTCCTGCCCAGAATCAACCAACCACAGAGCCTGGGAACAGGCACTGCCTGGGCATCTCCGTCCTCCATTCCCAAACCCCTCCCTGGCTGCTCTGACGCTGTGGGACTCGGGACTGCAGCGAGTCCCATGTTAGGGCTCCCGTGGGTGGCCCTGCTTGTGCCTGGGAGCCACGGTAGCTGTGCTCCAGCCCTGATGCCAGCCTTCAGCCACGCTGCTGCCATGTGTCACCCCTGAGCCCCAGCCCAGACCTAAGTGCCAGCCCAGGCTCTGCTTCAGCCCAATGACAACCCCCCCCGGGACAGACTGACCTCGGCGCAGCCACGAGCAGTCAGGGCCCGAGGGACACGCCTCCGGCCAGGATCCGCGTGCCCGTGCAAGGGGGGAGCACAGCATGGGGGCTGGGGGTACGTCTGCATTGAATAGACATACCCCAGGAGAGATGAAAGCCCCCTCCTTGCTTCCCAGGTCCTGAAGAAAAGCAGCAGTGCCCAGCACAGCAGGAGTTAACATCCAGTCAGTGCCTGTATCCTGCCCCATCCCAGCACCAGGGCTTATCAAATTGCATGTAACAGGCAGGCATCACATGGCGCTGAGCACCACAAAAGGCGCACAGCAAGCCAAGAAACAAGTTTGAGCTTTAACTCTGCAACTCCCAGCCTCGCTCCAGCCAAACCCACGACCTCTGTCACCCTGCTGGCAGGCTGGGACTTCTTAAAAATATTAATAAATTTAAAAAAAAGGTCATCTGGCCACAACCATGAGAGATAACGAGCTGGGGCGGGAGTCCTCGCCCCGCAGTTGCTGAAGGCTGCAGTGGAAAACAGGACGGTCCCCTGTGTCACAACCCATCCCCGGTGTCACAACCCATCGCTGCCATCCAAAGCAAACAAGCGGCTCGGCCCCCTTTGCTCATCGCTGTGCTGGTGGCCCCGCACCAAGTGTGACAGCCGGGGCTGGAGCCCTTTGCTGCACCCCAGCAAAGCCCCGAAACGCAGACACCGGCAGCCCCGGTGCTTCGGTGGGCGCGATGCCGTGCCGTCTGGCGGAGGGAAGTGGGACTGGGCAAAGCAGAGCCCGGGGCTGGGGAGGGGGGTGACGGCTGCCAGTGCGAGCGGTCCCCGGAGCGGCGTGCCCTTTGCCAGCCGCAGGCGATGCCAGCTCCCGGCTGCCCTTTCTCCTGCCCCGGCTCGCTGTGCCCCTGCCTGGGGGACGGGGACGCTGCCAGGGGAGCTCGCAGCTGGGTGGGCAGGTGGCCGCGTCCGTGCCGGGCTCACGAGGAGGAAGCTGCCCGCAGCCCCTGCCTGCAGGACCCGGCAGGGAGCCCAGCCGCTCTTCTCTTTACATTAAAACCAGAGCAAAACAGCAACACCTGCTTCCCCACGCTGTAATTATCTGCACACTCAGGGAGGGACCAGCTGAGACGCCCCAGGACATGCCTGTAAGCCCTGGGCTTACTGGGCATCCCAGCTCGAGGAGCTCTGCCAGCATGGCAGCCCCCAGCCCCTGCACCCCCCCCGCCTCCGCCCCGCACTCCCCAGCACGCCAGCCTGCCTCGGCATCGCGTGGCCCTTCATTCCGCAACGCAACTGAAACTATGACTAACTGAGTTATCAGATCTTAATGAACCCTGCGCTAGTTGGCTTGGGGCGGGGGCTCCGGATGGGACGCGGGGTCTGCCCGCCGGCATGCAGCTACGCGCAGCCCTGAGGTTAACCCCATCCTTCGGACTCCAACGCTGGACTTACGTGCTCCGGGTCCGGCTCCGGCGGGCAGGGAGCGCGCCTGGAGTGTGCAGTGGGTGAGCTGAAAGGACGCGGGCGTCGGGGCACTTCTTCAAAGCCCCCCCGGGCACAGCAGCCCGCTGCGAAGCGCTGCGAGTGCTCCGCTCACACCCTCCCCACGCATTTTGCTTTCGCTCCCTCGCAGCAGCCGGAGATGGAGAAGAAAGCAAAGCTGGTTCCTTAAATCCTGGGGGCGAGAGGATTTCAGAGCCATGGGCGGCCGATAGCGGCGAGCGAGCAGGCACCAAGGCTGGAAACCAGGTCACAGGCGGGATACTCCTGACCCCGATGCCAGAAGTTGGTGGGAACACATGCTCCAGCCCCAGCGCTCTTCCCTCCGGCGGGGCCAGCAAGCGAACAGCGTCCTCCGCGCTCCTCCCGCCCGCTTCCCGGAGCTTTCCAGCCGGCTGCAGCCGCGTTTGTTAAGGTGGATGGAAGCGCCTCCAGTATTTTCTCCCCTACCTCACCTCCTCGCTCAGCAGCTCGGGGCTACGGCGAGGCTGTGCAGTTTCAGGAGATGCCTGACGTTGCCAAGAAATAATAATAATTAAAAAAAAAAAAAGAAAAAGGGCAGGAGAAAGGCGAAGAGGAAGGAGCAGCCAACCGTGCGCTGCAGCTCCGCTCCTGCCAGCCCGGGGACGGGGAGCCGGTGCCGTCGGTATGTGGCGGAGCAGCGAGCGAGCTCTAATCTGTTCCTCTGGCTGACCCGGGGCTCGTTGCATCTGAATGTGACATCTTGACAGAGCATTAATAACGAACGTGGCGCTGACCCAAGCTGACAAGGGGTGCGGCCGCTTGGCACCCGCTCCCGCCCTCCCTCTCTCACTTTCTGTCTCCCTCGCTCTCGTCTGAATGTCAGCGGCAGGGGGAGGGATCCAGGAAAACAAAGCTTGGCTAATAGTTTCCTCCGCTCTCAAGTGAATCAAAGGCGCTTTTCTTTGGGGAGGTGTGTGCAGGCAAGCCCAGGGTCGCACCGGCGGGATCCCGTGGTACCCCGGCACACCTCGGCCCTGCAGCCGCTGCCCTGGCGGGAAGAGGGATGGGGAGAGGTTCGGCACTGGTCTCACCATGGGCAAACCGGGGCCTCTGCTCTGGTACCAGCAAGCGGAGGCTGGAAGGGAGAGGAGGCTGGAGAGCGCGGTAGCGTGCACTTGGCATCTCAGAGCCCCGAGGAGAAACCCGGAGGGGCAGCCCGGCGTGCAAGGGCTGTCAGCTCATGCCCCCAGCTGCGGGTTTTTACCGGAGCCATTTCAAGGCTCCCCGGCACAGATGCCCTGCTCCACCCAGGGCTTGGCGATGGCAGAGGGAACCCATAAAAGGTTCCCTTAATGGGAGCTCGCATGGATTAACAGATCAAGGTTACAAGGGAAACACTAAGTGATCTCATTCCCCTACACTCAACAGTACCTAGGGTGATCCTCCAGCCCCTCTCGCACCCTCTCGGGGCAGGGATGGAGGCAGTTCTGGCTATGGCACAGCCAAAACGTGCCATAGCCCTGTCCCAGAGAAAGACCGGCACTACAGAGTCAGCGACACCACCCATGGCACCCCGAAAGCGAGGCTGGCATCACTGAGCTGACTTAGCACATCGCAGCGCCGCTTTCCCCTGCTCATCTCGGGGCGGTTTGCAGCGTGTGGGAGAACCGAGGCACATGGAGGGTGAGTAACTTCACCAGGGCTGCGGAGCCGGTGGGTGGCAGAGCCGGGTGAATGCTGGGCTCCTGATGCCGTGCCAAGGCAAGCGGTGGGGACTGTATGCGGGCGACAAGCCCACGTCCCCGCAGGCGCTGGGGGTGTTGCCGGAGGGACCATCGCACAGGCAGCCGGATCGGTGTGCTCTGGCTGCAGTAGTGGGTGATGCTCACCCTTCCTTGGGAAGACGATGCCAGGATCAGCCCATTGCACTCCCACTGGACCTCTCCTTCAGTGGCCGGACACAAACATGTCTCTGACCTGCCCCATGGCTATGAGGGAGCTTGCAGCAAAAACCCCCAGCAGCTTTCACGCCCACAACCTCTCCAGAGGGAGGCAGTGCCACCAAAGAAGGTGTGGGTATGGAGTTGGGACCCCCAGCCAACTCAGCTCTAGTGCCATCTCCGTCCTCTGCTGGCCTGGCCGGGGACCCCCAGCTCTCGGGTCTCCCCTTTGGAGGAGCTGGTCACTGGACCGCTGCACCAACCCGCTGCAAAAACATCCAGCCCTGTGCCCTGACCACAGACCTGCCCGGCTCTCCCACTTCTACCACAACACTCCTTTTGTGCTGTGTCCCCATCCTCTGAGCCTGTGCGACTGCTGGGAGGGGACGGGAAGCCCCCCTGCTCCCTGGGAGGTGCCATCCCCTCCAGCGCGACCGGGGAAACTCATTTCCAGCACAAGACAGCAAGTCCACGCGCAGCGGCCACTCCCGAAGGGCCCAGCTCTCTCCTTTCACCTGGTTCAGATATTATTCCTGCTCCCTTATTGTTGAAAAAATAACGCTCAAAATTAAAATGTAGGCTGTAAATTATAGTAATTACCCAGCAGTTCCCCCTGACAGGCCTTTTGTGTTTCATTCCCTGACACTCACTAAGCAAATCCTCACAGTTTTCTCCTACGTGCTCGAGAAACGTTCAGCCAACGGTGGCATAAAGCACAGCTCCGGGGGGCACAGCGGGCAGCGGGGCTACGGGCACTATCCCAGGGGTAACACCTTGGCTGAAGAGCAGCAAAGCCCCAGCCTGGGATGGTGGAGATGAGACCGCAGCTGACCACAGCATCTTCCAGGGCAAGCATGGCCAATTCATGCCTTGGACGCGGTTTTGCCCTCGTGGTACTTAACCCACCCCATCCCCGTAATTTCCATGTCACTTTGTAAGAACGTCGTGGCAAACGGGGGGCTTGCTCGGCACGCGCAGGTGCCCATGCTCTGACCACAGCAGGGTGCCAGGGACAGGCAGGCTGGGCTGTCCTTGCACCCAGCCTGGATGGAGGGTGGCTGGCTGGGGGACTCCAAGGCATGTCCCATCCCAGGACCAGCAAGAGGGACAACACACAACGACCGACACGGGCTGCAAACCAGCTTCTCCAGTGCACGTTTACTACCATCAGCAGGTTTTTACAGCAGTATCTCTGACCAGAGAGGGGAAGGCTCCAACACGAGCATAGGGGAGATGAAGGGAGGAAGGTACGGAGCTCAGCTCCATCCCAGTTTCCCAGCATCGCCTGTTCTGTAGCCAGCTCCTTGTAAGAGCTCTGTCATGAAGAAGCGATGGAGGGAAATGCAAAGACCCACACAGACCTACCTCTCTCCACCCTTCAGCCAGCAGTTAATTTGAAATAACAGTGCAAACCCAAACCAGGGCTGGAGGAGCGCGCACTTGTGCGTGCATTTACACACCCACTCAGGCTCCAGAAGGATCCTGTGCAGCGAGACAGCACGCTGAGAGGCAGCCACGTTCAAAAGGCGATGGGAGATGGCTGGCTTCTGCCGTGGGCTTTCGCGTCAGTGGGTTTGGCTGTGTGTTAATTTGAAGAAATCAGTATTTTTAAAAAATTCCACTTTATTTTAGTTTTGTGGACAGAATGGAACTGGGGAAAAAAAAAATGGTTCAGGTCAGTCCAAAACCCAATCTTATTTTCTGAGTTGGTTGTTGGCAGAACTGAAGATCAGCCCTGGAAGAATACCTTCTGTATCCAGGGAAATATTTTACATCTACCCAAAATGAACTATTCAGGAGTCTTCATGGGTTTTTTAACTCTCTGACATCAGCTTTTTACACCTGTGCCCAGCTCTCCTCTGCCTCATCATGCCAACTCCATCCCATGGCCCCTCCGGCTCCTTGGCCTGGGAAAAGGCAGAAAGAGCCTGAGCTCGGCTCTGCCCCGAGGGAGAGGAGCCCAGAGCCTCAGCAAGGCTCACGAGGACCTCAGGTAAGCAAGAAACTGCCACTTCCACGCCACCTCGTTTCAAAGAACAAAACCACTTGTTAGACGCCAGGGGGGAAACCCAGAGCTGGGGCGAGAACAGATACCAGACTTTATAGAGTAATGAAGGTCGCACCGAAACCTCCCTGTTCATCAAGCGCAGCTCCAGCACCATTGTGGCTGCTCTGCAACGCCAGGCACTGGCAGCAAAATTCAGCGGAGGGGCTGGGGGGGGCAATAAACCCACCCGGCTGCTCCAGGTCAGTGCTCACCCTCTGCTTGCCAACTCCCTTCCAGCCTACCTTTAACTCCAGCCCACAGGGGCTCCTGCCAGCAGGTCCCCCAAAGACAGGAGCTGCCTGAACACTGCCTTTGAAGGAGCAGCCCCATCCTGGTGCCGAAAGCCTCTGCACCCTGCCTGGTGGCAAAGCCAGGCAGAGCAGCGGGTGCTGCCCGCTCCCCGGCTCAGGAAGGGAAGGGGGAAATCCTCGAGCAACTCCAGTTAATCAAAACCTCCTGCTGTCAGGATGACAATTGTGGCACAAGGAGGCAATATCAGAAAAACACGCCACCCCAGAATTATACCAATCTCTGCACATTTTGACGGACTAGTGAATCAAAATTTATTGTGTAATAAAAGTGTCATTAAGCAAGAACTTTCCTCTCGCTAGGTTTTCGTTCCCCTAGTTAACTTTAATAACATGGTACTCCCCTTTAGTGTCTCTCCCGGTAGACACAGCCCTGCCTTCTCCCGCTTGGAAACTCTCTGTACAGCTCTGCAACTCCAGAGCAGAGCTGACGACTTTGGCGTCTCGCTGTCCCAGGGCTGCTTTCTCTTACCTCCCTGAGCAGAAATGATGAGGTTTCATGCCACGCACAAAAAAGCTGGGGGTGGATGGCAAGGCCAGGCTGATCTCCTGGCTGGCGGGTGCTGGGAGCAGAGGTCACCATCCCCATCTGCCCAAGCACCCCAGGGTGCTAGGGATGACTTCCCATAGGACTCACATCTTGCTTGTTTAACTCCCCAAACCAGCTGGCTGTGGGCTCAGACTGGTACCAGTACTGAGGAAGAGTGCGGCGGGGGCAGCCAAGTCCTTATGGTGAGGAGGACGGTGCCCGTGTCTCCGAGCCCACCCCAAGCTGGGTGCCCGCTGCCTCCTCCACCCCTGCCCAGCCACGCTGGCAGCGGGCTCTGCTGCCGCCTCCTCCAGCCTCTGAGGTTACCTCCGGGGTTTTGCAGCTGCTGAGAGTTGGAAACCCCCACCGCACCAGTCCCTGGAAATGCCAAGCAGAGCCAGTTCGAAGCATTAAAGCGGCTGCTTCCTGGCAAAGGGGAATTTGGCTTCTCTGTAGAAGTCTGGTGTTGCAATCTCAGTTTCCCAGGTTGTAACGGAGGGGAAAACATCAGCAATTGGGCTTTACACCAGCAAATCTCCCTGCCCCATCCTGGCCCCTGGGCTGGAATAATCCTACGTGCTCCCACGCTTCATCCTTCCTCCATGCAGGCTTTGGCAGCTGGTTTTAAGACTCCTTAAGCACACCTCCAGCATCCAGCATAAAACAGCAAGAGGTACTTTTTAACAACCAGACGTGATCTCCAAAACAAAGCGGTGCTTGGAAAAGATCCCTCCAACGACCCTTCCCTGCTCAGCACCTGCTCACCCCATTACCTGGCCCTGGGCCAGTTTGCTTGATTAAAGTCTATCTATAAAGTTTTGTGTCTATAGAGAGCCCCGCTCGGCAACACACAGGATTGGCACTGGGCTGTAAAGAGGGTTGGAACAGCTTAAAGGCGAGCGAGCCAAACACTTCGGGATATTCACAGGCGAAGTAATCCAAGTCCACAGCTCCCATCGGCACCTGGGCAGCCGGCACTCCAGAACATGTAATCACCATCCCGGCAGCAGGTGCATTTTCCAAGCAGAGCCGAACCCGCTAACACGCCTGTTTGCGTTTGCCATCCCCAAACGACACTCATTTCCATTTTAATTTCCCATTTACAATCCTCACTGGGCCAGAAGAGTCAGCAGCGATGCAAGCGCGATGCACGGGCTGGGGACGTGAGCTCGACAGCCCATCAATAGGACGTGACTTTGGCAAAAAAATTAAAGCAGCGAAAGAGCTGGCACAGGAGCGGCACGAGGAGGGGAAGTGGCAAGAAGGGCTGTGCTACACTCAGCACTTTTTAAAAACGGTCTCAGCAAAGGCTCTGAATCAGTGCCAGGATGTAAAGTCACCCCGTGCTGCCCGCAGCCCCAGCTCTTGCAAGCTCCCCAACACGTGGCTGTGGAGTGCTGGGGTTCACCATCCTTTCCCTAAATCCCAGAGCTGCAAACACAGGCAGACACTCTCAGCATGTCTGGAACAGATCGCACCGATAGCACAAACCTCCAGAGAGCGGCACGAAGCTACACCTCGTGCTACAGACACCAGAAGCTGCAAAAAGCAACAGGCAAAGTGCCTTTCCCATTTCCTGTGGCCGGCTCCTGCCTCGCAGGACACATGCGGACTCTGGCCACAGCCCAGACGTCCCTGGTGTCGGCACAGCTCCCGGGGCTGGAGAGGCTGTGCCAGCCCCACCACCACTGCCTGCCTCCCTCCAAAACCCCCACCGAGGCTCACTGGGAACAAACCAGCAGTGGGACGGGCAGAATCCAGCCCCACGGCTCAGGACCCAGCACCCTGCAGAGTCTCCAGCAGTCAGACACCATCCATCCCTGATTGCTGCGTTAGGTCCAGCAGAGCCGACAGGAAAAAGAAAATGAGCAGCTCACCTTTTTTAGCCGTCTCCATCTCCTCTTCGGTCCAGCGAGAGCTTTCATTCATCTCCAGAGAAGCTGGGAAGGAGGAAGGAAAGGAGAGCAGTCAGCTGGGAGCGGGACCCAGCAAGCCCGGTGAGCTCAGAGATGCTCAAACACCCAAACCCTGTCCCACACTCTGTTCCCCAGAGGCACAACAAGATGCCGTGCAGTGCAGAAGCGCTTCTGCAGGGAAGGCTGTCACGGTGTGGGCTCTCAAGGCTTTTCCATGCCACAGTAACCCATCCACAGCATCTTCCCCGGGACGCAAAACCTCTACTTTGGGACTGGAAGTGAAGCCAGGTGGCTTGAGGGTGGCAGCAGATTCCCGCTTCTTGGCTTGAGGGTGGCAGTAGATCCCTGCTGATTTTGTGTCATGCACTCTGGCCTGCCAACAACAGGTACCTAAGACGAAGCCGACTTCGGCTGCGTGCTTTGGAGGTGGCAGACACAGGGTGGGACCGTCACTCTCGGCAGAGACGGAGAAACAGCGTCACCTCGGCGGTGACCTTGGCCGACAGCATCTGTCAAGGGAGTTGGCCGTGCTTGGCTGCAGGCTCCCTCGGTGCCATCATGAGGCTCTCGGACACCTGAGAGCCACTTCAGGGACTGACCCGGAGCCACTCCCATTGCAGGGGGATGTGCTGCTCCGGCTGGGAGAGTCAAAGAGGGGCGTTAGCACCTGATGCTTCCCCTTTCCCCCACCCCAGGAACGGTGCTGGGGACACCGAGGTCCTGCATAAAGCCTGCACTATGCAACAGCCCTACTGGCAGCCTGGCACTAGAGCAAACCCTACAATAACAAACCAGGGTGTGAGTCAGAGGCAAAAAACAACTTGGTAAGGAAACAGATTTCCGGCTCAGGCTGCCAAGGGGTTATTACTCTAAACAACAGGCAAAGCATTATTTCAACAGTGATGAGAGATGTTTTGACAGTGTCCTTTTAAAATGGAAAACAGGCTGATAGGTTCAGGATGAAGGATACAGGCGAGGAGAGAAGGAAGCATCTTCCAAGAAGCTCTACAAGAAGCCAAGACCCTGTGGGAGGACAAGGCGGGCTCCGATGCCCATGGCACAGGGCAGAGGGATCTCCTTCACAGCCAGCTGAGCACGACTGCAGGTGTCACCTCCTGGAAGTCAGCGCAGGTCACCGCCTCCCCCAGAAACACCGTGCCCCCCAGGAGGGCAGCCAAAAGAGAGGGAAATCGATCCCTCGTTGCTTCCCCCGGCCCCGGGCAGAGCTGGGGCCACCACGCTCGTTTACGTAAAAGCAAGCGTCCCTGACGCGCCGCGCAAGGCCCTTCGCTCGGCTTGAGGGTGGCTGTTATTGTATGGTAAAGAAATGTCAACGAAACGGCCCGTTTGGTTTGATTAATGGTATTTACTGAGGTTGCGCAGTTATGAAACAAATGCCTACGGGGAGCTCCGGCACACTGCAGTTAAACCACAATACGGTTTTGTGTTGTTTTTTAATGTTCAATTGGTATTTAAAATGCAATAACTTTCTTAGCCAACCTAAATTAAAGCACTATTGGAGTGACAAAGTGAAACCAATTGCTCAGATATGTCACCAGAATCGATTCATTCCCTTTTCCCAATTTAACACGGTCTAAAGTCTTTTCCCTGTGTTCACAGTGAAGTTTATCGAGGACGCCAGGATGCTGGGATAAAAAAAAAAATGCCATCTAAGTTATTGGCATTATCTGCTGCTTCTTTGCAGCGTTGCTTAACAAGTGTGAGAGGGAGAGCAGGGCTCTGTGGTGCTGGGAACTATTTATATTGCCTGTAAGAAAACAGAGCGCTCGCAATCAAGGCTTCAGCCAGTTGTCAGCAGAGGAACAGGGAGGCGAAACACCTCCGGGTGATTTATAGCACATGGAACAGAACAAGCAAGAAACTGCAGAGCAAGGAAACTGAGAGGAGTCACCCTGCTTTTATTTTTACTCGCCTTAGGTAGCACAGTAATAATTTTGCACTTGATAGAGTAGAAAATACAGGAAAATCAGCCAAATCCCTTGATGCATTGGGTTCTTTAAGTCAATGTGTGAGCAGTTTCCCAGGGTGACCACTACTGATGCTGCAGACACGAGAGGCAGATGCACCCAACGTGGGGCTGCGGACGCTGCCACGAATTCCTGTCCAGCCTGAGACAGGCGCAGCGGCATTGCGCAGCTCTGGCCGACCACCACCCACGGCCCAGGA